CAAAAGTTTATGATGAAATTTCTTATTTCTCCCTTTTTTTCCATGTCATTTGTCAAATATTAGCTGCGTTACTTGCTGAAAGATCAATGATGAAATTACATCATCTGTAACTTTTTTCTGTTGAATGAATATAGGCTTTTTAATTTCTGGAGGGGTGGGAGTGAGGTGGTTGTGAGTAAGGTGAGGACATGTGTTTCATGATGTCTTAAATGTTTTGCTTTCCAACAGCACAGTAACTAAAAGCAAGTACATACACTATCCCTGTTTGCCCCATAGCATGAAAGATGAGGGTATGATCATTAGAGGGTTAGGATTCCATGACATCTTTTATAGGTGCCTATCCTACCTCAGCACATTGATTACAGCTGTAATATAAGACCCTGGCCTTGCAAACTCTTATGCACATACTTAACTTCGCTCGTGTGTCCAGAACGACTCACATGCATCAGAGTTAGCAGGATCTAGGCCTAAAATTGCAACAGAACTGTACTGAACCCAGGGGCAAAGGAGAAAGAGGGAAAGGTACAGCACTGACAGATGCTGGCAGCAGCCCTGTGGTCAGCTGGGAATCACCTTCATGTACTTTGGAAGTGCCTGGAATTGTCTCGATATTGGTCACTCATTCTGTATCACAGCCAAAAACAAGTCACTGGATTATCAGTGCCGTGTTCTCTGGAATATTTCATCGTAGATTATTTGAACTCTGAGGAATGCGACTGAGTTCATTCAATGTTGGCTGCGGGCTGCTTGATCATGGCCTGATTCTGCCACTCTTGCTGACATTGGGTAGCATCAGAGGGCCTGATTCAAAGCCCAGTGAAGCCAATGGGAATCTTGCCCACTGCAATCATCACGACTGAGGATAGAAAAATCCTGGCTCTGCCGCTTTCACGGAATGAGTTCAACACAGGCCTGGAATCCTGAGGGTTTATACCAAGCCACCGTTCAACAGCAATGGCACATGGATGCTGTTTGCATTGTTAAAGTGAAAAGAAAATGGCTGAAAATTTACAGTGAATTTACATTGTAAAAGCAAATACTTTGCTACTGGCTAGTCCCAACTGCCACTAGAACCTCCTGGAAGTTTTTTTGCATATTTCATTTGTAAGCAGATTATTTTGAAGAGATGTCATGTCCAGTCCTCCAGCATGATATGATTCTTTGGAGTTTTCTGGTTATACACTCTAATTTTACTCAGTCATTGCATTAGCTCAGACCTGTGCAGCCCTCTTTACTCACAGGTTTGGAATGAATTTCTTCATGCAAGTTTCATAGGGCTCTACGTGTGTGTTTTGATGATTCCCAAGCTGGGCATTTCTCCCCACGTGTAAGCTTTGGTTTTATACGTACTGCAGATCATAATCATCAATGTTTCATTCATCATAAATGTTTAATATTTATAAATGATTGATGTCCAGGTTTCCAAGCAAATAGATAGGACAGTGCTAATGAAGAATACATTTGCATGCATGTCTAACCTGCATTTGGAATATATGGGTTCAGTTTTGCTGTTGAGATGCACACCTATCGTACCATCATTAACAGGAGTTACACATGTGTGACCTATAGCGTGCATTATTGAGTTACAGGTCAAAATGTGGTTGTGGGTATAGGAATCCCAGACGTGACGTGTTTCATTCCTTTGAAGGGGACTAGCTTATCCTGGATTCCTTTTAACGTTGCTTTTCTAGTGCTTTTATGATGCAGCATGTTGCTGGATGTGCTTCAGTGACCCCCTGCAATCTCACTCATATATATTAATTCTTATTCTTTAAAATTGTCCTGGTTTGATAGTCTTGGGACTCAAAAGCAAAGTAGGACGCTTAATGCTTCGTGTATTTATCAAGACTCTTCAAGCTCAGCGGGATTTCATTAACAATGCTGCTGTCTGATCCCTGGATGCATGACTTGTGCTGAGCACGCTTGTCTTGTGTTTGGCTCTGCAATACCATGGTATGCTCACATTGATTAGCCAATATGCACTTTACCAATAGATGGCACCGTTGCTCTACACCGATGGCACTAAAACATCCAGGTGTCAGTCGTTCAGTTGGCTCAGAAAGTGATCTGAGTTTGAAATCATGTGCAACCTGAAAAAACAAAACTCTACATTATAATGGGCAAAAGTCAGCACTTTGCAGAGGCCCAGTCCAGATCTCAGCACCACTCCTGTTGTCCAAAGGCCTTGATCCTGCAAAGACTTGGGCACATGCTTAACTTTAAGCACATGAATACTTTTTTGAGCCCTTGGGGGGAGGGATAGCTCAGTGGTTTGAGCACTGGCCTGCTAAACCCAGCATTGTGAGTTCAATCCTTGAGGGGGCCACTTAGGGATCTGGGGCAAAATCAGTACTTGGTCCTGCTAGTGAAAGCAGGGGGCTGGACTCAATGACCTTTCAAAGTCCCTTCCAGTTCTAGGAGATGGGATATCTCCATTAATTATTTTCAAGCTTTTTTTGCCAGAAACATAAGGGCTAGAAACTTAATATTTTTTCAAATAAAAGCTCAGACTATCATGTGGCCACATGACTCCAAGAGCTGGGGCTTTAAGGAAAAATACCAAATATCATAAGACTCACAATACAATTGCAAGAATTGGTTATACACCTCTACCCTGATATAACGCGACCCGATATAACACGAATTCGGATATAACGCGGTAAAGCAGCGCTCCGGGGGGGACAGGACTGCGCACTCCGGTGGATCAAAGCAAGTTTGATATAACGTGGTGTCACCTATAACGCGGTAAGATTTTTTGGCTCCCGAGGACAGCGTTGTATCGAGGTAGAGATGTACTGTGTTTCATGGGACTACTCCTGCATCTTGGAAAGGGATTAGACTAGATGACACCTGTGGTCTCTTCTAACCCTAAGGTTCTAGGATTCTACTCATGTGATTAAAGTCAAGCACATATATGTCTGCAAGATCGGGCCTTATTGTGATACAGACGATTAAAATAAGTTTTAAAGTAAGTAGAATTTGTTGCAACTTATCTCTTTTATCAGACACACGGGCTCATTTAAGTACAAGAGGAGTAACCAGGACTCCTGGATTCCCACCCTGACTGATTGTGTGTACTTGGGCAAGTTACTTGTGGCTTAGTGTTCCTACCTGAAAATTGAGTATAATTCTAACCTGTGTGACATGGTTTTGTGCGAAATTATGAATGTGTGTAAAGTGCTGCGAGAGCCTTGCCTGAAAAGGTGCAAAACCCTATTAATTATCGGTATTGGTACCCATAATGAGAATCCCAGTCTCTTCATCAGCTCATGGTAGGTCAAGCAAGATAGAGACAATTGTCTCATGTCAGGCTATCAGTTCAAACCTGATGCTGAAATTCAAAGGGAAGTTATGAGGCACACATATATATTTTAAATAAAACAAAGCAGGCAGGGGTGGTGGACAGGTGCTATTCTCCTTAACATTGTCACACAGCTGTATCTGCCCTGTGTTTGTCTTACACAACCCGCTAAGACTGATGGCTTCATGCACATCATACGGAGTGAGGTTTTAGCAGTGCTAGCCACAATCACCACTGAGGTCTATGTGACGACCCAGGGAAAGTAGTACACTATTCACTACCAGGCCAGGTTTAATAGAGAAAATGGTTGAAATCCGTTCAGTCATTTTTAGTTACTGCTACTGTATTTAAAGTATGTTAGTGCACAGTAAACCTCCCCAGTGGGCTATCTGACTTTTACAATGTGTGATAGCAATGGCAAAAAAACCCACTGCGATAAATTAGATCCTCCAGGGAAAGGATACCCTAGCATGGAAGGATGGGTAAATAATTGATTGGCAACCCTAATGTGCAGGTTCAAGACAGGTATTTGGCATTATTTCAAAGCTTATTCTAGCATTTCATTATTTCACCTGCTAATGCATTGGTGGGTCCCGGCTAGTATGGGGGGGACAAACCTCAGTATGGCCTAAGTTCTGTCCTCAGGGGCAAGTGTGATTTCAATGCACATCTGTGGAATGACAGAGTTTGGATTGCATCATTAGTCTGTCTGCAACTCATTCGCAGACTTACCGGCAACTGAAAACAGCAGCAAGGTGCCATGTGCAGCAGCATAGAGGCGCTTCCTGTTATGTCTTCTAGGTTTACAGTGTTTGGTAACTTAAGGCCAGGCAGCATGACTTACTCTGCAAATGTCATGAGACATTTAGTAAGCTAAAGCCAAGGGCAAAAGAAGGTTTGCTTGCATATTGGATTGAGAGCAACCTTGGTTCACCTTGTATCCAGCCGTCTCACTTGTTTATACATATTTTCAGGTTGGGGGGTTGAGAAAAAACAGATTTCTGTCCAGTTTCTCAGAAGTGAGACCAATAGAATTTTGAGAAAAAGAAAAGGCAAGTCAGGGGAGACACACATCCTTCCAGGGTCACACCCATACTGCACAGTGCGTTTCTATTGCAGCCACACCAATAACTGGTCTGGAGACCGTGGCACAGTGTTTATACGCTAAATGTGCTTTCTTGGTGGGAGCTTAGGTAATGGGTCTGTGCCAGACCCAGGATCTGAACACCTCTGAACTTCAGGGGACTTCAGATGTGGTGGCTTGAGCCCATCTCTTGTAGTATCCTGCTGGAACCCTCCCTTTCTGTGCACCACTCGTGCTCAGGGAAGAAATGGTAATAGGAGAGCTTGGGGCCTTTTCACTCATCTCCTTGTGCCCTTCCAAAACCAATAACTATTATTTAACCATGACACCCTCCCCGCTCCAGAAATGTAAACTCTAAAACCCCAAATTTGATCATCCCCAAACAAAGGGAGAAGGAGTTGGATCCCAAACCTGGACCCTGATCCTAATGTTGCAGCTGACCTTCCTTTTCTATAAGGTGCTGATCTGATATCACTGAACTTTGAGGTTTCAAAATCTGGAGTAGGATTTTTCTGTATGGGCCTATCTCTAAGGAAAGGTAAAAATTAAATGCAGAATAACATGCACGCACACAGAGAGACCCGCTTTAAAAAATTAGGTCAGTAAAACGAAACAGCCTTGTATTATTTCTTTGTTTGTTTATTAATTTAATATTTATATCGCAATCTGTAACAGCCTGTCCCATAATCTGAAATGAGCAGTAGTGAGAAATGGTCACACTGTATAAAACTATTACCATTGTGAAACCTGTCCTAAATAGAGCTGCCTGACTTTATAATGACACCTGTATAACTTATCATGACAATAAAATTGTTGATATTGAAATGGCCATATATTCAATGACAAAAACCTGTTTAAATCAACACCTTTTAAAGAGGGCTCCCCCTCCCTCTCTGGTTTTCTCCTTATTGTGAAGTTTGTTTTTGTAGGATTGCCCATGAGAACTGAACTGGAGGCATTGATTTATTTCTGCTTTTAAAAATGGACTGAATTTGTTTTTAAATAAAACAAACAAACAAAAACCCCACTTGCACACAATTATATGAACTTTGTAAATCAGTTTAGGGAAACAAAGTTAGTTTGTGTATTCTCCCCAGTTTGAAGGCTCGTCTAAACAGATACAGTTTTTCTGCGACAACTTTCTCCCTTTAAGAAGTTATTATTATACTTGAGTGCAAAATGCAAGTGAAAACTGAGAGACAGATTCTGCACCCTTTATTTGAAATATCACCTTACTCGGCAATGGGATGATTGGCATGACTTCGTATTAGGGTTTGATTGTTCCAGGCTTACTCACGTTGGCAAGCACTTACACAAGTAGTTCCGTAGCTGTGAGTTTGGATGGGACAATCTGGCTGTAAGGGATCAGGTTGAATTCACAGTGTAAGGGGCTGTACAAAATGTAATCAACACAGGTCTAAGAGTTAGTCAAATCCCATTTATCGTGAAAGACTAAATGGTATTCACCCAAATCATTTAACTCCACCACTAAGCACTTAGAATTTCTGCTAAGCATCAATCAAACTCATTACAAATTGCAAACTAATTCAATCGCAATCAAATGCCCCAACTTCTTCCTAGCCTGAACAGGGCTGTGTTGATTCATTTATTTTGATCTTTTTGCACGTATGTAATAGTACCTTCCAGGCTGATGATCTCAAAGCACTTCATAATCATTATTCACCCACCCCTCACACGGACAGCCATGAAGTAGGCAAAGATCCTCACACCATTTTACAAATGCTCAGGTAAAACAAAACTATGCAAAACAGGCAGATGCCATGGAAGCAGCATATGTTTTACCCATTGCACTCATGAGAGATCCTGTATTGACTCTAATATAAGTGGCCCCGTCATATATGTCAGTCCTCATGTGTAATGTGTATAAATACACCTCTACCTCGATATAACGCTGTCCTCGGGAGCCAAGAAATCTTACCGCGTTATAGGTGAAACCGCGTTATATCGAACTTGCTTTGATCCACCGGAGTGTGCAGCCCCGCCGCCCCGGAGCACTGCTTTACCGCGTTATATCCGAATTCGTGTTATATCGGGTCGTGTTATATCTGGGTAGAGGTGTATATAGGGTACTCTCCCTATATATGGAATATATATCCTACTGCTTCTTTCCACAAGGGAGAGGCACAGAAGGCCCACCCCTAAATTGAATACGGTCACTTGCTCAGTAGAGGCAGTGGGTGATGGTGACTTTTGTCAGTGAGACGGCAAAGCTGATGCACAAAGGTGAACTCAGAGCCATTCACAGCAGCACATAAAGATCATGCAGATGTCTGATTCAAGTGAGGGAAACAAAATCCACCCTGAGGAGTTGCCACTGGTCAAAGGCAGAGCTGGGAATGTAACCCAGTCAGCCTACATTCCAGTGCTCTGCTCCAACCAGTAGACACCACTCCATCTTTATAGCCTAATTCCTATTCCTGCCAATAGCACATGAACCAGAATAGTCTTAGTGTTTGGGCAAGATGCTGTATTTGAATAGCGGTTATAGTATTGCAATAAGCACTCTACAGTGTGGCGCCAATGGCGGTCGTGTCTCTGACCGGCTACCCAGGAGCTTGAAGGCATTTTGGTGCGCCGTCACATTCCAGACTTGCACTGAGGTTGTGGGGAAGATGCTGCCCATCGCGGGGGGACCGGTGATAATTTGTGACCGGACGTCGGCGAACGGCAAAAGCAGAAACAGGCGGCATCTCATAAGAAACAGTGTAGACACTGTTCATCACTCCAGCCTCTTGGTGGGTCCATTTTTTCATTAGTTGCTCAAAAAGGCCATAGTTGGTGGGTGGTTCTGAAACAAATAATGATGAAATGTCATAGTAATAGAAACAAATTCATGGCCACTAGGGTTTCCATAACACAGGGCACATGGGGTTAATTCAGAACTTTGTGACAATAGCGAGGACAGAATTCAGACCCTCTTCCTCCACGACCAGAGACCTTTACTCCTCGAGTGGAAGGAGAAGCACTGCGAGCTGTTGACAGTGGAGGAGCTATGACACACAGGCGAGCAGTTCCGAGTCCATCCAGTCGAGAACAGTGGTATATAGGCACACCCTCTGGTGCACAGAAAAGTTAGTGGAATTACATTTAATGTTTTAGTTCACAATTTTTCCTGAATAACTGAACCAAATTACTAGAATACGGGTAAAATTTTCTAAAGCACCTAAATGACTTAGGAGCCAAAGTGACTTAGACACTTGACGAGACTTACACTTCTAAGGCCCAGATCCTCAAAGGTATTTAGCCACTTAATTCCCATTCCTACATCAAAATGGGACTTAAGTTCCTAAGTCACTTAGGGACTTTTCTAAATTTTGCCCTGAAACCACAAGTGTATTAAGCAGATGCCCATTCAACCATAAGCATTTAAACTCAGAATGAAGCTTGGGGTACTTCAACACCCAAATTCAGAAGTTCCCGGCTTTAACCACTAGACAAGACATTAATGACTCTGTGCTTATGCAATGGGAAACTAACAGAGAGTTTACCCTGTCTGTTCATAACACTTAGCACTCAGTCTAAGGCACTTTTAATCTTCAAAGAATTTTACAACCAATCGGCCAAATTCTTCTAGCAGTTATACCAGCATTATTATCATTGGGAGTTGCACATGGGAGGAAAGTTTGGTCCATTAACTAAACATCACTCCTCTCCTCTGTGGTGGAGAAGCATTATTAATTATGATTATTTATATTTTATAGACGGAAAAGCTAAGGCGCAGAGTGGGGAAGTGACTGGCCTAAGGGATACAGCAAGCCATTTGGAGATGAAAGGTTAGAATTTAGAGGTCTCTGGTTCCTGAAGCTTGAATGCTGACCACTAGACCAGACTGCTTCTCTGCCTGTGAGCAACTACCAGGATAACACTCAAAAGTACCGAAAATGGGGAAATCTGATTTCTCCGGGAGCCAGGCTAGCTTTTGTCCATTCCATCTGCGGAGCGGAGGCAACACAGGATTGTAGCCATGTCTGTTGTAATGATCATCGTACTGAGTTACTAAATTGCGGTTGCTCGGTTCTTCATGTTGCGTAAACAGATGCTGCTTTGGCAGGCCCTGTAAAGAGAGGTGGACGAAACCATATTGCTTGTACGGGCAGAGCATTTAAAAGGTGCTGGAGACTATTAGGTCAGATTGTGCCCCAGGTGATCTGGCAAATATGAGTCAGAACCCAATCCCCAACCAACCCCTGCTTTTGCGCTTGCAAAACAGGTACATATTTTGCAGCTTTGCCCACACACACACACACACACACACACACACACAGTCAGGCTATTTGCGAGGTGCAGTGAGGTATGACTAA